AGCTGTATTTGATCTAACTTAGATTGAGTAGCTGACCTTGGGCCCTTATTTCTAGATGGCAAAATGATCAACTAACTAATCTATTCGGTGTTGGTGTGAATGCAGACAATGCTTTAAGTTGTTTTCCTCTCTGACAGCTGACTGATGAGACACTGCTGGTGAGCTATTAAAGCTGTAAAACATTTTAATGCAAGCTAAAGCAAAACAAAACTTTAATTCCTATTAGGTTTATCTGTGTTGCCGTGAGTTTACTGAGCTGAGTCGAAGCACTAAATTCAGCCCACACAGTGCACAATTGTCTTTGTCTCGGTTCGTTTTCTGTTATCTATTTGTTGTTCTCACAGTGAGCCATGCAGCAGCTCTGAAATGAAAATGAGTTTTATGTATAGCGTAATAACGTAAATGGATTTTTCTCTATTCTTGTCTCTGCACCGCTCTCTGGCAGCCCGTGGCTATTTACTTGTTTTTGTCTAATTATTCATTAGCGAATGCAGAGGAAGAAGCACAGAAAATGTGGGTGCGCATTCGTGGAAACAAGCCAGTAATCCTCTGCAAACTGCCATCCCTTTATCTTAACTCTCAGGTTTTGATTGAGTTCCACCTCATATACTCTTTTATCTGATGTTACTAGTTGTTGAGACCACAACATGACAAAACATGATGCTTTGATGCCATTGTCTTCTACAAATAAATGCACACAATGAGCAGGAAAAAGCACAATCAAACCTCAAAAAGCTGCAACAAGACTAAGATTTAGGCTCTGTGCTTTACACACAAGTGACCAGCAGGGGGCGCTGTTTGACGCTTTAAAAGTGAAAATCAAGGTCTTGAAACCATCAGGGAGGTGCAAGTATGCATTCAGTATACATTGTATAACTATGCAATAAAAGTAGAATCCTGTTTTATTTAAAACAGGATTCTATAGTCGGTGTAAATTGTATATATTTGACAAAAACAAATATATAACAGCACATCTTATTCATAAGGTAAATCAAACTAAACTAAACAGGAAACTGACGTTGCGTCAAATGTCTGCGTGATTTGAAGAAATACATTTTAAAACTGGTGACTGGTTACTTCTGATACTTCAGTTTGGTTTTATAGCTGTTTTCATAAACAGTGCTTCTTAAAGAGTCTGCAGATGTTATTCCTTTGACAAGACTGTCATCTAGTGGTGCTGTTTGTACACCACTCTTATACGCTCCTATGCTTTTATATGACGTGGATTTTATTCGTTCTTATTTGTTAATAGTCATTTCTATCATTTTTCATAGACTCTGTAAGGCATTTATATTTGATATGCCTTTTCTGGTAAACAAACAACCAAAGGAAATTAATTTGTCTTTTCTTATTTCTCTTAATTTATTCTATTCAATTTAGTTTATTTATATAGCACCAAGTCGCAACAGGAGGTGTCTCATGGTATTGAACTGAAACATTCATATATATATATATATATATATATATATATATATATATATATATATAAGCCATTAGTAAAAGGACTGCACTTATGTAGCACTTTTCTGTCTTATCAAGACACTCAAAGCTCTTTACACTACAATCTGTGCCTCATTTACCCATTCATACAGCACTCTAGATCTATACAAATAATAATCAGTGCTTTATCACATTCATACACCGTTGGGACACTCATCGGAGGCAATGAAGGGTTCAGTGTCTTGCCCAGGGACACTTCGACATGTGACTGCTGCTGGAATTGAACCCCCAACTCTTGCATCGGAGGACAACCACTCTAGCCACTCAGCCACAGCCGCCCCTCTCAGTAAAAGTTATCTATCTCAGGAAGTCAGCAGAATGAGTTGAGTTTCCATTTCGTCACAGTCTCCCACCCTGAGCAAGCACAAAGGCAAGAGTGGAAAGGAAAAACTCCCTTTTAACAGGAAGAAACCTCCAGTAGAGCCAGGCTCAGGATGAGCGACCATCTGCTTCGACTGGCTGGAGTTTGTGCAGGAAGGAGAAACACAGAATGGCAGGTCCAGATGTACTTTCTATAGAGGAAAGATTAATACTGTAACACATGTTAAGATAGAAATAATTACAAATACAAACAGGTAGAGTAGAGCAAGTAAAGACAGCAGCAGAGTGAGGAACTGTGGTCAGTTTGTCCTCCAGCAGTCTAAGCCTATTATTAAGGATAGCTCAGGAAACTAAGCCAACTCTTTCAATATCAAAAAGAAAAGACTTAAGTTTAATCTTAAAAGTAGACAATTTGTCATCCTCATGGGCAGAAACTGGAAGTTGGTTTCACAAGAGAGGAGCCTGAGAAGCACTTCGGTAACATATACTGTTTTAAATGTGCTTTATAAATAAAGTTGACTTGATTTGATAACTGAAAGATCTGCCTCCCATTCTGCTTTTGGAAACTCTGGAAACAACAAGTAAGTCTGCAGTCTGAGAGTGAAATGCTCTGTTAGGAAAGTATGGTGATATAATATAATATAAGTAATATAGGATGGAGCTAAGTTGTTGAGGGCTTTGTAGGTAGAAGTAATTTTTTAAATTATATTCTGAATTTTACAGGGAGCCAGTGGAGAGAAGCTAAAACTGGATGGATATGATCTCTAATACTAACTCCAGTTAAGACTCTGGCAGCAGCATTTTGGATCGACTGAAGACTTTTTAAAGAAGTTTTTGGACACCCAGATAACAAACCATTGCAATAGTCCAATTTAGATGTGACAAAGGCATGAACCAGTTTTTCTGCATCATTTTTATGTATTTATTTATTTATTTTCATATGATCTTGAGCTAAAGGACAAAAGGTAACATGACCTCAGTAAGGGCATCAACGATGTGCATTATTTAATAAATGAACAGTGAAAGTTAAAAACTCACTTCTTTTGAGATTTTAGTGACAACTAGTTAAGGTTACAATATTTATTCAGTTAATCTTCTACAAGGGAACGGCTGAGAATAAACATTTAAATTATGTCATTTGTTATCAGTTTTTTCTTAACCTGTAAAGAATCATATGACGGAGTATTAGGGCCACGCTAAGAAAAAAGTAATAATAATTACGCTAAGGAAAAAAGATTACATTACAAGAAAAAGTCATATGACTTTTTAACTTTTTGAGTTTTTTTTTTCTCGTAATATTTTTGGGTTTTTTTGCGTGGCCCTAATACTCCATCATAGAATCAAACTTTGATGCTCATGTATTTATTCTTCTAGCATAAGGGATAACTGCTGTAAAATAAAAAAAAATAATAATAAAAAGCAACCAGCTGGCTCCAGTTTTAGCATTCAGTTTGTGAAACTTATTTTACATCAGATGACCACTAGATGGCGCCATTGTTCTGAAGAAATGCAGTGTTCTGTTGAAGGCTGTGAAAACACCTGAGTGAGAGGTGAGTTTACAGAAGAGTTCATCTGTGAGTTAATATTGTCAGCTATTAAACAATATGAAGTCTAATATAAAGTATTTACTAAAAATTATGTGAATTAAATATTAGAATTTTTTATTAGACTTTGAAATAAAAGCTGGTTTCTTTATAAATGCTTTTTTTTGTTTGTTTGTTTGTTTTTACAATATCATGAAATATGAGCACTACCATTTTGGTACACCGTTATTTCGATTTTAACAGTTAAATTTAATTATGTTATAATTTTAAATTTAGAGATAAAAACCCAGAACTTTATTATAATCTGATTTCTAAGACTGAAAAGGGGCATTAATAAATGTGAGAGGGTTTAATTTCTAAACTGTGTTCATGTTTTGTTTTTTTATTATATTTTTGTTGCTATACAGTCAGATATTTTAAAATAACAAAGTTGTTGTGTTAAAGGTTATTTTTATTTTTTATTTTTTTTAGGCTTAGAATAATAAAACATAATGACTAAAACCTTTAGGAGTAAATCAGCCGAAACTCATAATAAACCATATTTTTATCACCTCATCACTCCAATATAATCACAGCCTGTGATAGTTTTATATTTATTATTTATAACATATATAATTTCTATAAATGTTGCTCATGAAAGAAATAAAAGCCCACAATTTAAAATGGAAATCGCTTTGTTTCAGAGACAATTTGGTTTATAAAAGCTTTAAGAGCGTGGGATGCTATGGGTAAATTTACATTTTTTATAAAATGTGCAAAGTACAAGTTTTATATGTGATTTAATTAACATTTCATCGAACTGAGCTAAACAACTGAAATTATTTAAAAACAAAATAAAATATTCCCTTCTATATTTCATCTTTTAGGTTTATAAATAATCTGACTTAAATCTGTCTCACAAATTTCAGGGTTAATCTCATCTCAGCACACATTTGATGGTTTTTTTTTTTAGAATACGTCAAAAATTAACAAGAAATAAAAATGACTTGGCTCTTTTTCTTTTTTTAAATAACATTTATTTGCAGCATATTCATACAATGTGACAGCAAGAGGGACAGACTTTGTCCAGCACTGAATCTGATCTGACTAACAAAAGAAGTCAAATATAGTGTTTCATTTTACCAAAATAGGATAAAATACAATACAGACAGTTGAAGAAAATAATTTTAAAAACATGAGATATTGAAATAACAGAAAACAATGAATTACACATAATTAGTTTTACAGCAGGAAGTCATTAACTAAGTTTGCTTTTAGTTTCTCATCTTTGACCACCACTTGAGTTTTATTCGTCAAATATTTTCTATTTGCAGATTTTACATTAAAACTCTGCACTGTGTATTTATTTATACTAAGTTGGTTTGATTGCGCACATTTCTCGGCGGCAGGATGAGAAACAAAAGAGGAGAGTCGTCCAAACTTTTACAGTCTAACTTATAAAATTCATTTTTAAAGTCACACACTTTAGTTCCTCTGTCAATCAGACGTTTTGACTACAAGCCAGATAATCCTAATATTTACAGGAGAGCTGCAGCCAGAACACATCACAGGTCATCAACACTTGCGGCTACAAATACAGGTGCGCGCTCCGCCCGCTGCGCGCTCCGCCCGCTGCGCGCTCCGCCCGCTGCGCGCTCACGGTTTGTCCGGCGTGTTGTTGACCAGAGGCCCGTACAGGCCGCCGCTGTAGCTCTGCTCCTTGTGCAACATCGTCCTGTCCCTGATCAGGTCGCTAAACGCGTAGTCCATGGGGGGTCTGAAGCCCAGGGTGGGCATGAGCCCCGTGGTGGAATAGGGCGTCATGAACGCCAGTCCCCGGCTGTGCGCGGAGTAGGCCAGCCGCAGCGGGTTCAGTCCCAGGTGCGTGCCCAGGGGGTAGGTGCCCGGGTCTGCGCCGAAGTGCGGGGCGTTTGGCTGCAGGGGGGAGAAGGCGGAGCGGTTGCTGAGCGTCATGGCGCCGGCGAGCATGGGCCTGGTCGGCGCGGCTGCGGTGGCGGACGCGGGCGGAGGCTGCTGCGCGTTCTGGAGCATCCTCTCCGCAGTCCACCGCTCCTCCCCCGGCCCGGACTTGTTGGGGGTCTGCGCGCCGCCGTTGTTGAGGATCTGCTCGATGGCCTGCACCACGTCTTTGCCGCAGCCCTGCAGGACCAGCTCCAGGACGCTCCGCTTGTGGCTGGGGAACACCCGCGTGAGGATGTCGATGGCGTTCATGTGGCGCGAGGCGGCGGAGGAAGGGGAGGGCTCCTGCTCGTCTTTGTCGGTCTCAGAGCCGGAGTCCGAGCCCAGGGAGCTGACGGAGCCGGGGGTCTCCTCTCCGTCCTTTAACGGCTTGGATACCGGCGAGCTGATGAAGGACTCGCTGTCTCCGTTCTCCGAGCCGGAGCCTCCTCCGTGCCGCCCGTCGGGGGAGGAGACGCCCGGGGCCGAGTCGCCCTCGGTGGAGGCCGCTTTCCCCGCGGACTTCTGCGGGGTGCTGGACCCGGACAGCTGGCTCTTTGGAAACAGCTCATACTTCTGCATGCTCGAGTCTGCAGACACAAACAGAGCACGCTCGTTTAACATGTTTCAGAACATGGAGCAGGTTCGGGTCACCTGCTGCACAGAATTACACCCCCCACCCCCCCCCCCCCCCCCAGCGCTGCCGGCTCACCTGAGTTGCTCTCGCTGTTGACGGAACCGAACACCTCGTAGTTCGGACGCGGCGGGATGATGCCGTTGGCGGCGGCCAGGGCCAGTCCCTCCGCGGTTCCGTAGAGCAGCTGCAGCTCACGCGCTTCGTTCTCCTCCTGCGCCTGCTGCCGCCGCAGCGCCACCTGCGCCGCCATCACGCGCTGCCGCTCCGCGATCAGCGTGCACTTGGCGCACATGCAGTCCTTCCAGCGGCAGTAGCGCTTGTGGCCCTTGAGCGCCGACACCACGCCGTGGTTCCTGCAGCGCGCGCACTTGGGCGTGCGCGGGTACTTGTCCGCGGCGCGCAGGAGGAGCGGCGGGCCGCGCAGCAGGTTCCCCGCCATGGACACCGGGATGGAGGCCGCCGCGGCCGCCCCGGGGTGCACCTGAGAGGCCGAGGAGGCTGAGGGGAGCTCGGGTCTCAGATCCATCGCGCGCCTTCACCGATACCAGCGAAACACGAACAAATAAACTTTCTGAACGTTTTAATTCAATCAGAGCTGATCACAACTGCCGCGCGCTTCCAAACATTTTACGCGCAACAGGTGAAGTCAGCACTTTCTCCTAACAGACTAGAAATAATGATGAAAGGAGGTAAAACAAACCGGATCAATCAAGTTTAAGTCTGAAACGAGTCCGAGCCGAAAGAAGAAGAAGAAGAAGAAGAAGAAGAAGAGATCATTCCTCTTCGATTCAAAGTTCAAACTGTCCAGGAGTTGAGGGTTGAGACACTAACTTCCTCCAGAGATCGTCAGTGGATACAGATCCGTCTCTCCTCTCTCTATTGTTGCTCCCACGTTTTCATTAGACAAATTTGACAACAATGTGGCGCGCGCCATTGGCCGAAGGGAAAAGGAGCGATCTGATTGGCTCGCCTCTGGTTTTTTTTTTTTTTTTTTTTTTTTTTTTTTTCTACTGTGTCCACCTGAGTTCTTTTTCCAAATATCAAGTGTTAAGAATCTGAAGGGAGTTCCCGGAAAGCTCAAATCGATGCAAGTTTATATTTTCAAAAATTAATTTGAACGATTTTTATTCATTGTAGCAGATTTGACAAACATTACAGCACAAGTTCAAACCATGAGCCCTGATGAAGGATATTCGTTTCAATATCTCTTATATCTTTGATAAATATATGTTTGATCTGTATCATTTTGTTGGAATCATTAATTTTGCTTCGGCTTTTCATCATTAAAAGGTCGAGCTGTAAAAAAAAAAAGTTTTTTTTTTAATTAAAGATGAAGCGTGGCTGTAATCTCATCTTTAAGGTAAGTTTATTTATTTTATTGGTTTATTAAAAGGCAGATTTTATTATTATGTGAACAATAAATCTGTTATTGACAGCAGGAAGTAAATCTGTTTGATCACTCTGAGGAAAGTTTAATCAGATGAACCCTCTTAAATTTGTTCTAACAACAAAATCTATAGAAATAAAAGTTGTATGAGCTCTGACAAATATTATAAAAGTAAAATTCGTATTTTTTATGAATAAATTAAATATGGATACTGACAACAGTCTGTTTGCTTGTTTTTTCCTTCTTTTAAATATTAAACATAAATATTAATAAAACTATTAAATTCCAATAATTCTCTTTACATTTTTAATTGTTATTCCCAAACGATTTATAGACTAAAAATAAGTTTATTCAATTAGTTTATTAAAGCATCGAGAAAAATGTATTTTTTAATGACTTAAATCTTAAATTGAACATTTCTTTACATTTTGCTTTGAAGGAATTAAAACAAAAGTGCATTTTTAATTAGCCATGATTTATTTTGGGCACAACATTTGAATTTTTTGTTTAAATATAGAATTTATAAGTTTAAATAATAATAATGATAATAATAATAATAATAATAATAATAATAATAATAAACCAGTCCGCTCTTCTCCTCGGTAATGGGAGGAGCGGAGACACCTGCTGCCACTGCTGGAGTTTAGATTTAAAAATATAATTTAAAAACCAACGTTGTCTGATCAACAATTGTCAGCTCCTCGGAGGAAGACTCGGTGATGAAGAGCAGCAGCAGCCTCAGCCTCTTTGTTTACTTTCTGAATCACTGGAAGCAAATGCCATCTGTTTCCCTCGCCGCTGTCATCTGCACCTTAATTACCAGCCAACAGGCTAATGGAGACGATATTAAAACTACATCTTTTTGACATTCACAGTAATTATCTGCATCTCGCTCGGATGAAAACTGACTTTTTACTCACGCAGGAAAAAGTTGCAAATAGAGAGAAGAGCCCGCGTCTTCAGATGGAGGTGAGTCCACATGTTATAATAAAAATAAAAAAACAAAATAAGAACAGAAAAGGCTGAACATTGTCCTGGTCTGGGAGTTTGACCAAAAAAAATTGGAGGAAGTGCTAAGAACTGCTGAAGAAGCTAAAACTTAATTGTTTTAGCTAAAAGAAGCAGAAAGCTACAATGCTAGAAAATACCAGTTAAAAGCTAAAGATTACAACTTTATATGTTTAAAAAAGCAAAATACTGTCTAAAAGGTAAAAGTTACAAAATCATAAAGCTTAAAGTAGTATGCCAGCTAAATTCTAAATGTTACATTTTAAATGTTACATTTTAAATGTTACATTTCAGTTAAATTTAAAGTAGAAAAATGCTGTAAGCCTAAAGTATCAAAATGTCAGTTAAAAGCTAAACACTAAAATGCTATATTGTTTGTTTAAAAGAGCAAAAAGTCAGCTAAAAGCAAAAGCTTAAAGTAACCTACCAGCTAAAAGCTAAAAGTTACCTTTAAGTTGAGCTTAAAGTGCAAAATGCCAGCTAGCTAACACACTAGCTAAAAGCAGCAAAGGCACATCAGTTGGAAGCAAAGACTTTCTGAGCTAAATGTAGCATGAGCAAGTGTTAATAACATGGTGAAAGACTAAAAATTGAATATAGCAGAACAGCTGCTGAATATTAAAAGTAGCTAAAGGCTAACTAAAAGCTAAATGTAGAAGAATGATAGATAAATGTTAAAATTGGTATAGCTCAGGTGTGCTGCAGCAGAATGGAAAGGGTTTTTGGAGGAACTGAAAAGATCTCGAGAAAATATTTGTAATTAAAGTGAAATCTTTTGAAAGTATAAAGTTACAAGAAGCAAAATTCACAACACCCATCGTCTGAACGAGCTGAAAGTTTTGATTTAATGTATAAGCAGCTGAAAGTCCCCAGTAAGATTGTAAAATAAAATCCTGAACTTGTTGGGTTTTATGGATAAAGAGAATTAAATTTCACAGATTTAGTTGTTTTTACTTAAGCTGGTCCTAAATGAAAGGTCCTGTCTGAGAATGATGCATTATGACAGGGATTAGGTATTATTCTTCTTGGCCCAATTAAAAATGTCCCCCCCGTGCAAATTAAAGCTGACTGTGAGCACTTAGGAAACCCAACATTCTTTGAAGCGCTTCATTAGGCCTCTGCGTGCAGAAAAACTGCGCCATGCTTTCATTTCTTTCACACACGAGCGGGGTTTTAACACCCTTTTTAGGATCACAACAAAGGCCATGCTTGACCCAACATATGTAGCAGCATGTTGCCGCTGCCCCCCCACCTCCCCACTCCGTCCACTCCTCCACCACAGCCTCTCTCGCCGCCGCCTGCGGCCTGTCTGGGCGCGGGTCCCCTCCCGTGCGCTCTCCCGCCGCTGCAGCCGGCCTCCACACAGAGGCAGAGGTTAGAGTAGCAGTTAGATGGGGGGGGGGGGGGGGGGGGGGTTCACTCAAGCATTTACACGCCTGATGTGTATGATGGGCCCCGCACCGCGGGGACAAGAGGGGCGGTTAACCCGCCGCCTCATAGCGACTCCACTGCGCCGTGGATCAGCAGAAGTGCATTCCTTCAAGGGCAGATCCACTCGGGAGTCGGGGGGGGGGGGGGGTATAGGCTCATCACAAGTTAACACAAACGTGATGAGTCCAGGCTCACACTGAACATTGATTTCAAAAAGGGCTAAAACTGCAGTCACTGCTTTTATCACATTATCCCATGAAGGCCTCACTTTTCTGCAACCGTTCAATGAGTAGTGTGTATATATATACATATATATACACAAATATATATATATACATACATACATATA